TTCTCCTTCGCTTGGTTGGGTTTGTTTTCTCTTTGCCTGAGTTAGGAATAAGTGTGAGCAGCAACTGTGTCTCTAGGGACGAGGCAAGTGCCAACGATAGGTGTCACTTTGCATCACATCTGTTGGGAGTGGCTGCGGTTTATGGCCTCGCCAGTGGAGCCGGGTGTGTGTCCCTGCTCTGCTTTCCGCGTCAATCCACAGTGTTTTTTCTGCCAGACATGCCAGCGAGTGACAAAGTCACTTCTTCCAGAGGCATCCGCGTGTCCATTCTTCCATCCTGGAGGACTGGGCCACAGCCCCGGAGCGCGGTGGTGTCTGCAGTTCTGTCTCAGGCACAGGAACGCCAGCACACCCAAGTCGCTCACGGCCCGGTGGTGACACAGATATTCCATACATAATTTAATAGTGCAGTCGTGTTCCAGAAAAGCATTTATGAAGTGCGATGGTTGTGTCCAGATGGAGGAAAAACGAGCTCTGCCTGTGAAACCACGCACAGTGTCCCAGACGTGGGAGATGTGCGTCTGGGCACGAGCTTTGTTTCCCACGGTCCTGGAGACCGGAAACCCACAGTCAAGGCGCAGGCTACAGTGTCCGGGGCCCTTCCTCCTTAGGTTGCTGGTGGCGCCTTCTTCTGTGTCCTCTCACATGGTCTTTCCTCCATGCATGTGTGTAGACAGGACGCAAGCTCTCTGCTGTTTCTTCTCATAAGGGCACTAATCCCGTCTCAGGGCCCCACCCTCGTGACCTCATGTAACCCTCATTTCCTCCCAGCGGCGCTCTGCCATGCATCATCACATTGTGGGTTCAAGCTTACACTTGTGTTCAGGAGGGACACAGTTCAGTCCGGAGCAGCCTGACGTCCTTCCTCTCGGCTGTACTTCTTCTAGTTTCTGTTCAAATGTCACTTCAGTAGAAAATCTCTCTGGCCTCCTTATGTACAAACAGGATGCAAGCCCCCTCCTTGACCCCATTGTCCTGCCTTTTTCTTCCCTTAGTGGGTCTATCATTTATTGTCATGCGCCATCCCTGACCTAGAATACAAGGAAGGAAACGTGGAAAAGTGAAAACCGTTCAGCTTGCTGGATCGACAGCCATGTAGTCTGTTTTGTTCACTGCTATACCCAAGGTTCTCGGGGCAGGACTGGTCGTGGAGCCACTAGATAGACTAGTGTTGGATGGACCGGTGGGTGCAGGGTGGATGGATGGACGGAGAGATGGACAGGTGGACGGATGGATGGCTGAACGGATTGATGGATGGGTGAAAGGTTTGAACCCACCTCGTTACAGCAAACCACTTGTCGTAGACATGCGCTTCCGTTTTACTGGGTCTCCGAGATAAGCCTGTGGTACCAAACAAACAGGGAGTGTCTCGCATTCTCATTTTCACTGTTCTAGGCAGAAATATATAATTCTGCCAAGAAATGCACTACTGAAGCTTAACGTTTCAGGGGATAATTTATTAACTTGTCTTGTCCTTCATGGGAAGCAGGGTCAGCTCTGCTCAAATTTTCCATAAGTCAGCTCCTGCACGTTAAGATGAGGAAGTCATTTGAATCTGGGAGCCAAATGAGATGTTCAAGGAAGCACAAATTCATCTTCATTCTAACTCAAGAAACGTCTCTATGCTCCAGTTACTCCCATGTAGAAATTAAATGTGCATATAGACCATGACTAGAAAGGAAAATGGGGAAAATGAAAAGTTCTATTTCCTTGGATTAGCAAGATTATACATGATTTGTTTCCTCCCTAACTTGTTTGCTATTAGTATCGTTACAATAGTGTTTGTGTCAGTTGAAAAAGAAATTACCTGTGCTGTGAAAAGTGAAATTTGGCAAATGAAAATGGAATTTAATAAAGAATATCTGCTTTCATGTGGGTAAAATTGCCTTACCTCTGGAATGTGTGAGAATGCCACCTGGAGGGCAATACGGTGCATTGGTCCTTATGAAACGCTGTCGTTGGGGCACCTAGGTGGGCTCAGTGGGTTAATCACCTGACTCTCGGTTTCCACTCCGGGCGTGATCTCAGGTCGTGAGATGGAGCCCATATCAGGCTCTGTGCTGAGCATTGAGCCCACTCAGGAATCTCTCTCTCTCTCTCTGCCTCCAACCCTCCCCCCTCCCTGTTCTCTCCTGCACCACAAAAAACGGGATGGGAAGAAGGGAGGGAGGGAGGGAATGACGGAGGGTGTCTGGTTATCTATCGTACATTCTCCAACTCAATAATATATACTGAACTGGTTGTCAGTGCAGAGTATTCTTTTAGTCCGGTGGACAGGAGGAAGCAGAGTGGTGGTCCCCTCTCCAGAAGCCCTTGCCTCCTTTCCATTTCCTACCCTTGAGTAACAGCCTCATAGCTTTGCATCTCTCTCTTCCATCCTCTTTGTGTTCATAGAATTTTTACTCTACTGGTCATTATAAGGCATTTATTTCCACCTTCCTTTCTGGAAGGACAAGACCTCCAGGACCCCCGTTATGTGTTCACCAGCCAGTGCAGTTCCTGGTCAAGCAGCTCATTCTATCATGAGGAGAGGTACTAATGGTTGGGAATTTTAAAGTGGTACCGAAACACGATTCTACTATCTGGGACTGTACAGAGTAAGTCTCCTCTGTCTTCCACGTGATAGTTCAAGTGGATGAAGACTCTTAAGTATCCGGCTTTTGAGGCTGAACTCTTCCTTTATGTGACACGTTTTGCAGACATCTCCATCTTTTGGCCATCTTGGCGGATGCTCTGACACCATCTAGCCTAGACGTGGACATCATATTGTGGATGGACCGGGGCTGGTGAGGGCCCGCTGAGTCTCAGAAGGACTCTTAGTCACTGCAACATGGGTTCAAGTACACTTCTACAAGTAAATCGTCTACACTACTAGCTCGTCAAGAAACTGACACAAAGAGAAAGTTCTAGGCTTCCTCATAAACTCATACACTTTGACCAGTGTATTTAATAGATGTGTTTAGAACAGATTTTAGAGTTCTAGTTTATTATTAACAACAAGATTAAAAAGCTATCAACTGTTTGACCTGATGAAGACAGTCCATTCATTTTATTATTCTGGATCTTGAATAAGATTTGGTCTTGACTATCAAAATATTCTAGTTTGATTGTTACCCTGGGATTTAATATGAGCAGTGTTTGTGAAATGTCCACTAGAGCAGTGACCGGGTGCCTCAGTCAGTTAAGCCTCTGATCCTCGATTTCAGTTTAGGTCATGATCTCAGGGTTGTGAGATCGAGTCCCGTGTCTCCTATGGCTCCACACTGGGTGTGCAGCTGCTTAAGATTCTCTCTCTCCCTCTCCTTTGCCCCTCCCCTCTCTCATGCACTTGTACTCTCTCTCTCAAAGAAAGGAAGAAAGAAAGAGGAGGAGGGGAGAGGAGAGGAAGGGAGGGAGTGTGGAAGGAAGCAAAGAAGGAAGGAAGGAAGGAAGAAAAAGAAAGAAAAAAAATGTCCATCAGGGTCTGTGAGACATTATGTGTACTACCCTGTTCATATGAATACCGCTGTTTCAAGACTTATGCTATTCACAAATTTGGTGAATTTTCGGATTTTCTTTATAAACTTGGAAAAGCTGACGAATCAGCAAAATATGATTACTTCTCCTTGTTATTGGCCAGTGATTTTCTTGCCTAGGAAACTCTATCCATTCAGAAATCAGATCAGCTCAGTATAACTTCTTGTAATTTTTAAGCTTTAAAAAGCCACTTCTTAATAGATAAATTCTGGATAGCAAATAAGATTGATAGAAATTTCTAAACAACTATAAAATCCTTTCTTGCTAAGATGGCAGTGGACCTCCGAATTCTCTTAATTTGATAATCTAGGTAGCCAGTATTGAATATATGCATGTCAATTATTAATTATTTGCCATCCTCCATTTAATAGTACCTTTATTTCAATTTGCAGAAATTTGCTGCATTCTAATGAACTTTGAGTTTTGGGTGAAGCTGTATTTCGGTCTTGCATTATTTACTTTTTGAGGCCACCTCTATTCTACTTAATCTTGACTTGGTGTTAATATGAGTTGTAATTATGTCTTGTGATCTGTTTACGGGCGGAAGGAGCAGTGGGCCGTTTGTAGTAGGACCATATGTCTTTATTGGCCTTGGGGAGTTAGTTGCTCTTGTATAATTAATGATAATTTTTATCAATATAAACTATTATATTTATTAATTGTTACTTATAAATATTAAACCCTTTGTGTCTCAAAGGATCCCAGCTTGGAATGTAAATTGTATGAGCACCCTTATTTGAAAGGAGTTGAACGTTGTTTTCAACGGCCAATATGCCTGATTAGCTTCCTGGATCTATCCAACCGTTAGCACACCTCAGCAATGTCTCCACATTCTTCACCCCATCCCTAACCCCTGTGACAATGCAAACACAGCTCCTGGAAGGGACTAAAATCTAGAATAGGTATAAGTAAATCACCTAGTGAAGAGGTCTGGGCGATTTTGAAGCCTTTCTTGAGGTTCTACAGAAAGAAGAAGGTGCTCAAGATTGTGAGCCGTGGGTTCAGGTTACTTCCACTTGGCACACAGGACGAGCTACATAAATGGTCCAGTCTGGTTCGCTGAAATAGAAGTGAGCAGTGTAGATGTGAGCAAGAAGGAAGATGAGAGAGGACTTGGAGCCGGCAATGTTCATCGTACCTGGGTTTGACTCAGTGGGGTTGGGCGGTTGGCTGTCATGAAAAGAAAGGCCACAGCTGCCCTGTGTTGTGGAACCCAGTTCCCGAGTGGAGAGCGAGTCAGTTCTCAGCAAAGCTGTAAACATAACATACTGTGACATTTGTTCTTCACCTTGGGTTTTGCTGTGGTACGGAGACGAGAGCGGGGGGCAGAAAGGCGGACAGAGGAGCTACTCATAGCTTCAAGGATGAGAATGTGCCTCCTTCACTCTTCGGTGTGGTGGCTCTTGAATCAGAATGTATTCGTTTGGTTTATTTCATTTCTTTACTTCACTCACTGGGTTTCTCTTTCCTCTTGTTGCTTCTAGGAGCTGGTGGGGAGCAATCCTCCCCAAAGAAACTGGAAGGGAATAGCAATTGCTCTCCTCGTGATTCTGGTCATCTGCTCCTTGATCGTCACCTCGGTCATACTGCTGACACCAGGTACTTACATTTATTCTTGGAAAAACAGGATGGGAGAAAGTGCCGAGCTGTGCTTTGCAATTTTTTTCTAAGTAACTACCTGTGACATATTTTTCCCAGGTTCTAATTCTCATTGTGTCATATTGTTAAATGGTTAATATGTTTTAATGAAAAAAAAATCCATTTTGTATGCTTTGAATTCGTTCATATACTTGTCAGCTACATAGAAATGCTTGGCACATGTTAAAATTCATAATTACTTATTCACATTTGATGAGCTTAAAGACAGTGGCATTATAAATACAACAAGTATATGGATCTCATGGAATTCATAGCTACTATATCAAAGATGGATTTTAAAAATTACTGAAACAACATACACTGAGTGTGAGCGAAGAACAGAAGTACTTCATGAAATAACAGACATGTCAGAAAGAGCCGGGAATCTCACAGGGAAGAAAAGACACACAAACACCTTCAGCAAAAATGTGTACACACCTGTGTCATCGAATGTTTCGAAAATAAGTGCCATGGGAGCTTGGAGGGGAGAGAGGCCTGTCGTGAGGAAGTTCAGAAGAAGGTGAGATGGGAAGCGGGTTGTGATGGGGTATGAGGTTAAGGAACGAAGGAAGAATTTTCCTGTAAGATAACCACTGGCAGTTACAGGAGACCACGGTGGCCACATTCTCACTGTCACATTAGATTCCTAATTGTTTGAACAAAAAAACACAGTTCTAACCCTCAGTAAATGGACTGCACAGGTATAAGGCCTTAAGATGGAAAAAGAAGTAGATACATCAAAATGTATCAATAAGTAAATAAATACATACATACAAACATACATACATAAATTTTATATTTTTACAAGAAGTACAAGTAAATGATGATGTACATTTAAAAGATCTAAAACTTCAATGACAAAAAGAGAAATCCATACCTTGAAGCCAAGACTAGGTAGAGGTATCACAGGAAATGCAAACTAGAACCGATATCCCTTATGAATATAGATGTAAAAACCTCAACAAAATTCTAGCAAACCGAATCCAGCAACAGATAAAAAAGATTATACACCTTAACCAAATGCGATTTATCCCAGGAAAGAAAATTTGATTTAATGCATGAGAATCAATATAAAATATATACATATTAATAGAATAAAGGGATGGAAGGAACCCACAGAGCTGACATTTGCAAAGTCCAAAATCTTTTCATAACAAAACACTCAACAAGCTAGTAGAAACTTCCTCAACCTGATAAAGAGCATGTATGAAAAAAAAAACCCCATAGCTAATATCACACTTATTGGTGAAAGATTGAAAGCATTTCCCTAAGATCAGGAACAGACCAGGATGCTTAATCTCCCCATTTCTATTTAACATTCTATTAGAGATTCTAGCCAAGGCAATACAAGGCGGAAAAAATACAGATAAGAAAGAAGTAAACAATCTCTACTCATAGATGACATGAACTTGTATATAGAAAATCTTTAGGAACACACACACACACACACACAAATGCAGCAAGGCTGGATAATATAACATCAGTATACAGAAGTCATTTATATTCCCATCCATTAGCAATGAACAATCTAAAAATTTAATTAAGAAATTGATTCTACCTATAACAGTTTTGAAAAGAATAAAGTACTTAGGAATAATTTAACAGAAGGTGTACAAGCTTGTGCACTGAAAAATCAAAAAACATAATTGAAAGAAATTAAAGAAGACCTACATAAATGAAAGGATACTCTGTATTTATGGATAAGAAGGTCTCATATTGGTATCATAGCAATACTTCCCAAATACATTTATAGATTCAATCCAATCTTTGTAAAAATCCCAGTTGCCTTATTGGAGAAATAGACGAGCTGATTCCAAAAGTCGTATGAAAATACAAGGGACTCAGAATAGCCAGAACAACCTTGAAAAAGAATGGTTAAAGTACTTACATTTCCTGATTTTAAAACTTACTCTAAGGTTACAGTAATGATGATACCAGCATGAGTATAGACATATAGTTTAATGGAATAGAACGCAGAAATAAACCCATGCATCTATGGCCAATTGACTTTTGACAAGGGCGCCAAGATCTTTGGATGGGGGAGGAATTGTCTTTTCAACAAATAGTGCTTGCCCAACTGAATATCCACATGCAAAAGAGCAAAGTAGGAGCCCTACCTCACACCATGTACAAAAATCAACTCAATGTGGATCAACAAGGCAATAAAAGAGCTGAAAGTATAAAATTCTTGAAGAAAACTTAGGGGCATATATTTATGACTTTGGGTTAGGCAACAGTTTCTTAGATATGACACCAGAAGCATAAGCAACCAAAGAAAAAATAGATCAATTGGACTTTATCAAACTTAACAATCTTTGTGCATCAGTGGGCACTATCAAGAGAAAAGACAAGCCACATAATGTGAGAAAATATTTGCAAGATATATGTTCAGTAAAGGTTTAATGTCCAGATTGTATAAAGACTTACTATAACTCAAAACAAAGAGAGAAATAATTCAACTAAAAACAACCGGAGGATTTCGGAAACATTTATCCAAAGAAATATAAATGGCCAATAAGCATAAAAAAAAAGATGTTCGACATCATTAATCATCAAGGCAATGCAAATCAAACTCACAGTATCCTACTTCATACTCACTAGGATGGCAATAAAAACAAACACAAACACAAAAAAAGGAAAAGAACAAGTATTGGTAAGGATGTGGAAAAATGGGAAACTTCAGACATTATTAGTAGGAATATAAAGTTGTGTAGACTCTGTGGAAAACTGTTCAGTAGTTCTTCAAAACTAAACATAGAGTTAGTGTATGACTGAGTGATTCCACTCCCATGTATATACCCGAAAAAACTGAAGACATATGTTCGTACGGAAACTTGCATATGGATGTCCATAGCACCATTATTCCTAAGAGCCAAAAAGGTAGAAACAGCCCAGTGTCCTTCACCTAGTGAACAGATGGACACAGGTGGTATATCCACACGGGGGAATATTATTCAGCTAGATGAAAGAATGAGTCTCTGATGTATACTACAACATGGATGAAACTTGAAGACGTTATTCTATGTGAAAGAAGTGAGACCCAGAAGGCCACATCCCGTATGATCCCAGAATGGGCAAATCCATAGAGATAGAGGTACATTCGTGGGTGCTAGGGGCTGGAGATGGGGATGGTAAGAAGTAACTGCTCGTAAGTATGAGATTTCTTTTTTTTTTTTAATTTTTTATTTATTTGACAGAGAGAGAGATCACAAGTAGGCAGACAGAGGGAGGGGAAGCAGGCTCCCCGCCAAGCAGAGAGCCCGATGCAGGGCTAGATCCTGGGACCCTGAAATCATGACCTGAGCTAAAGGCAGAGGGTTTAACCCACTGAGCCACCCAGGCGCCCCTCTTTTTTTTTTTTTTTAAATGACATTATATTTTTAGAGAAACTTTAGATTCACAGAAAAATTGAGAGGAAGTCACAGAGACTTCCCATATGGCGTCTGTCCCCACACAATGTACAGCCTCCCTGGTTACCAACATTCCCACCTGATGGTACGTTTGATCCTGTGGATAAGCCTACATGGGTGCATCAGAATAAGATTTCTTTTGGGAGTGATGAAAATATTCTGGAATTTGAGAGTGGTGATAGATTCACAGCTCAGTCAATACACCAAGAACTACTGAATTGTACATACTAAAAAGTGGAACTTCATAGTACATGAACTTCATCTCACTTGAGTGTTAGTTTACATGATAGTGGGAACATTATAAAAAACCTGGAGCAGGGGGACTCAGGATTCAATATGGCGCATCTGACTGATTGGGGGGTGGGGTGGGGAATGGATTCAGCCATTGAAATCTGAGTAGGGGGAGGGTTAGTAAAGACAAGTACTTGTTCTATTTTGTGATTTGCTGATGGTGATTCACCTTAGCTGGAGAGTTCAGCACCCACGTACTTTTAATGTGGAGGGAATCAGGTCTTCCTTGGGATTCATGGAGTACATGTTCCTACCTTTGCTTTTCCTTAAACAGAACGCTGTTTTATACAAGAAAATGATCATTGAACAGTGGATTCTGTGGCTGTCCAGCACTGGACTGGGGACTTAGAAAGCAACAGTGTTTTAAGTAGTTTGCGGTGGCTGCCGCCCTCCCAAGGCACACGAGTGTTCATGTCACCCAGAGTCCTAGGGCTCCTACAGTTGTTACTTGAAAGGGAAATAAAAGGGCACCCACCCTGAACTCCTTTCTCCCCAACAGTCCAGCAGTGAGGCTCGGTGGTAAATGTTTTCGCTGAATAAGTTCCACACCAGCCCTGGAAGCCTTTCTTCCATGTGCCCATGCAACACCACACAGAGAGCGGTCCTTCAGTCCTCTCCACTGCACAGGGAAGCATGTCCCAGCCTCCCAAATGCCACCGCTTTAGCTCTGGGAATCATTGACATTCAGCTCCCGGGCAGCAGTGAGCCTTCTGCAATGAGAATATTGTCTCTGTAACCATTCCCTCTTTGAATGCTGGCGGCCAGTTGTCAGGGGCAACAAGAATGGGCAGGAGGCATCTGCTGGTGATGGGGCTGGAGTGCATCCCTGAATTCCAGAAAAGGCTTTGAAGAGCAGAATTTCTTTCATGCTTCTGTTAAGATACAAATGTGGCTGAGCCTGGCCTAAGCCTTGGGCTCTGTTGGGCTTCAGTAGCTGGTATTTCATTTTACAGGTTGTGCTGCCCAGGGAGCGTGTGTTCTGGGGTTAGGATGATCAGCCGTGCCTGTTCAGTAGCAAAGGTCCTGCTGTTCCCTCCCACCATGGGTTTTTTGCCTCCGCCGTCCTGGGGTGCAGCGCTGGCTTTTGGCAATCAAAATTCAGTGAGGCGGGAGAGAATGTCAAATTGCCCAACCTGTCCCTGGTTCCAGAACTTTCTCAGATCCACAGACCTGCAGAGCATCCTTGAGTCCACCATCAGGATGTACGTGTTGGTCAAACATTAATGCTTCCCTCTCGGGGGCTGGGAGCATCTAGCTCAG